CCAGCCCTTTTTATTTTTTATTTAGAGACAGGGTCTCACACTGAGTTGCTTAGAGCCTTGCTACTTTGCTGAGGCTGGCTTTGAATTCTCGATCCTCCTTCCTCAGCCTCCCTGGCCACTGGGATTACAGGTGTGCACCCCTGTACCTGGGAGAAAACCTCAATTTTAAAGTAATGAAATGTATCCGTTTGGGGTCTGATGCTTGGCGAATTTTTCTTTGGGAAGTCGTTCCTTGCCCCTCCCTAGGTCACAAAAATATTTTCCTACACTGACGTTCACGTTTCACCCTCCCCTAGACTTTACTCCACCTGGAGTCCACCTGCACGGAAGGGGTCAGCAGGGATCTTGTTTTGATTTTTTTTTTTTAATTGACCCACGGATTTTAATTGACCCACGGACTCCTGTTGACCGTGCCATCTTGGTCGTGTGTGAAGTCCTCCAGGGGGCGCCACTGAGCACTCTGGTCCGTGGCCCCCCCCACCACCACCACTTGTCTTTCCTCCTGTCCCCACAGGTCTGCAGGTTGGCCTTGTCACTTTGGCCTCTGAACACCTTGTCGTCTGGAGGTCAAGTCTTCCTCCCGTGCCCTCTTTCAGTCAGGCTGACTCAGCGATGTGAAGTTATTCATAGATCACCATAAAAATTTCTAGAATGAATTTTCGGAGACTCTATAAAGAATAAGATCAAATGGAATCGCCTCTGGACCTGCATTGAATCAACAGACTCGTCTGTGAGGGATCTCACAGCTTCTCGTCTTCAGCAGAATGCAGAACTAGGCGAGGAGCCCGGGCGGAGGGACCCTCCCTGCGGCCCACCATGACCACGGGCAGGAGGTGCTCAGACCCCATTCCTGCTGGGCCACAGGGACCGGCGCTGGCAGTCCTTGCGGTCACTGTCTCAGGTCATCGTCCCCTGCCCATCCTGGGGGCAGCCACTGCGCCCCCTGTGTTGTGGGCCAGGAGGAAGGGGCCTGTACCAGGAAGCCGGCTCTGGTTTGGTTGGTCCCCACCCAGCAGCTCGCCTGAGGTTTCGGCTGCTCAAGGTTCCMCTTGAAGCTCAGGGTGGGGCCAGGTGACAGTTCTGGAACCCAGGGAACGTCCATCCTGGGGAAGGGTCAGCAACCCAGAGAGGCCAGCCCTGGCTTGGGCCTCGCCTGTGGAGGGGCTCAGCTGGGCRGGTCACAGGTCTTCCCTGGGCCTCTGACTGAGCTTTCTTTAAGTCAAAGGAGGGACTCGGGAGGAGGGAGCCGGTTGCTGCTGGGAACTTTACTTTGCCCCCCAGCATTCAGGAGCCCCATTTTATGCTGGGGAGACTCAGGCTCAGAGAGGCCAGGTGACATGCCGGGGTCACACAGCAGAGGCAGAATTTAAGCCCTGGACGGAAATACTCAGAGCGGCTGTTTCCCAGGACACTCAGGTTAGGAGACCTTCACCACGAGACACAGACATCCCTGAAGATAAGACCCCAATGTGTCCTCAAAAACACACTGTGGTCCAGCTGACCCAGTGTCCACGCCCCAGGACTTTCTTTCCAGGGACAGGTGACTGGCATCAAGTGACCCACCTTCCTGTCTCTGGTGGTCTGTCTGTTTGCTGGGTTGGACAAGAGGCGAGGAGGCCCCTTGGGTGGACACCGGCTGCTGGTGGGGGAGGGGGTCAGAGCCCACAGCTTGGGGGCTGCGGTGAGCATCTGGTCATGACAATGACAATGACTCCCCACCTGCAGGAGCCCAGCTGGAGGCTGGGCAGGGCCAGAGGGGAGAGTCAGGGTGAGCCTGGTCTCTCCTGGCTGCCGTCTCTCCAGGGCCACCTCTGCCTCTGTTCTCTGTGTGCATCAGCCCGTCCCTTGAGTCCCTCGGCCTCGGTTACTCTGCCACCTGGGCTTCCTACGAGGCCAGCCCAAGGCTAGGAAATGGAGAACCAGCTGCGGGAAGTGACTGGCCTGAGGCGCCCCCGGCGCAGAGCCCTGCAAACACACCCATCTGTTCAGCCCACAAGGATTTATTGAGATCTTATTGGTGCCGATATTTGGCTCAACACAGGCCCGGCCCTGTGCTCAGCTGGGCTGATGGAGGAGCCAGGCTGTCCTGGTCCCTGCCCTTGGGAGCTCAGACTCTCAGAAATGCCCACCTCTGCCCCGCCATCCCTCTCTCCTCTCCTGAGTCCCACACACTGAATGAATAGCTGTGGGGAGCCTGGCCCCGTGACCCCKCCCACCCCACAGTGACAGCAGATCTGAGGCCGGCTGGCCCACCCACCAGCAGTCACCAAGGGGGAGGGACGGGCTCCCGGGTGACACACACTAAGGGCCTCTGAGGTTCAGTGCCCCTGGGGGGCCTGGAGGGCTGGCCGTCCCCTGCATGGAGGATGGGCCCAGGACAGGCAGCTGGAGGACTGACCCACCCCTAAAACAGACCTCCAGTCCACGACTCCCCCAGTGCCCCAGGGGACAATGACCTCCCGAATGCCCCTCACCAGGACCAAAGCAGAGTGGGGGGGGGGCAGTCACACAGGGAGGAGCAGGGAGGCCGGGGTTAGGCCGGGCGCGCGGTGAAGGTGTGCTCTTTGCTCTTGGGGGCGGGGGTGGTCTCGGGACGGGAGGGCCTAAATCCCCTGCACATCTGCATCTGGGGACTCTGGGATCTGTGGACATATCTGGATGGGACCTTTGAGGCCACAGGATCCAACCCGTTTCCTCTTCAGCCGCGCCGTAAAGAGGAAGCAACCGAGGCCCCTGCATCCGCAGCAGCTGCCGAGGGCACACAGCAGACGGGAGGTGAGTCTGGGCGCAGGGCTGTGGCCGCCTACTCATGGGACACAGAGGGGGCCTGGTCCAGCCGGGCGGTGCCCCCTGAGGAGGAAGGCGTGGAGATCTGGCCCGGGAGGTAGAGGATGGCAAACCAGCAGAAGATGAAGACACCTGTGACAGGGAGAGAGACTTGGTGAGCCTGGGCTGCAGGGGACAGGCCAGCCTGGGCTGGTGGCTGCCCAGGGCAGAAGGGCTCCCTTGTAAACCTTCAAGGACTCATGAAAATATCAGGCAAAAATGAAGCCTACTCCTGAAAAAGAAGCAAACAGAAATCTTGGAAATGAAAAAACAAGGATCTTGAAATGAACAAAACAAAACAAAACAAACAAAGAAAAAAAAAAAAAAACCCAGACATCTGTCACAGAAAAGAAAGAGCAAAATAAAAAGAATTGTCAGACACACAAACCTACTGCAGTGGGATCTCCTACCATCCTTCTCTAAAGGATTACTACAGGATGCGCTTCAGCAAGAAGGAAGGTGTGTGTATAGAAAATTGAATGAGAAACAAAGACTTTGTGTTTTAAAGGAATTTGTAACAAAAATACTGCACAGTAATTATAAAATTTAGAGGACTCAATGGCAATTAAAATGCCTGAAGTATTTGGGAGGAAGATAGAAATCCCAAATGACTCATACTCAATTGAAATTGAACTCAGTAGAGTGAGGCATGCAGGCTTAATTTCTGCAAGAATAATGGCACAATTTATAATTTCAAGATGTATCTCTCCCTAACTCTTAACCTCTAGAATTTTCCAGAGATGGACTCATGATTCTTCAACTGGGTCTATCCTCAGATGGCTCTAAAGTCATCATGGCTATTGCTGTTAATACAGTTCCCACATATTGAAGATCTGTTGTCTCTCACGGACAAGATCGTAGTTATTCAACATGAAATCTGTCGAGAAAGTGCCGAGACTGTCCTGACTTTAGAGATGAATGAGGATCAGAGGCATTGAATGACTTGCCCGAGAGGTGAGTGAAACTGGGATTGAATCCAGGTGGGGCCTGGACCCAACTGCCATGCCACATGGTCTCATGGGGCATCCGAGACGACTGGGTTCCTAATGGCTCCCCTGGAAAGGGTGAGTCTTATCCCACCCTTCTTGCCTGTATCCCTCACGGTCAGGCATGATGAGCTGTGTGCATGAATAACTGGAAACCGAGGAGCAAAGAGATCAGGTGTGGGAAAGAGAGTGTAATCCATCGCCTGGGCTTCTCCTCCTTGGCAGGGGTCTCAGAGGGAGGACCCCGCCAGGGCCGTTAGTTCACATAGCAATCGCTTTCTTCCCATCTGACAGCTCCTCCTTAGAGACTATGTGAMCTGCCCTGTCATGTAGACACCAAATCACATGACCTTGCCCTCCTTTCACAGTTGATTGGACCAGAGATGGTCACCTGTCCTCGAAGGTCATGCAGGGTCGAGGTGGGCCATGTGGGACAGCCGTTGGGGGCCATGGGTAGTAACAGGCAAGCAGAGAGAGGAGAATGAAGGAGTTTCCACAAATGCTAAGTGACCGACAACACCAGGCTCCGGAGAAAAGATGGGCACAGCCTCTGCTTTGATTGGGGTGGCTTTCCTGATCCTGGTGGCAGGTCCCATGAAGTCAGCCACCCTTGACGCTCTGATTGTAAGGGAGCCCTGGATATTTAAAGCCAGAGAGCAATCCTGTTTCACAGACCATCCTGTCCCCGACTCCCGGCACCTCCGGGTGCAGACAGGACAGCGGCCCAGGAGTCTCACCTTGCAGGGAGTTGAAGAGGGCGAAGATATAGATGGTGGACAGACCCAGGGGCGTGAGGACAGCCAGCCCCCAGGTCACGCCCACCAGGCTTGAGAGGCCCAGGATGGTGAGGACGGCCTTCCAGCTCTGCCCCTGCTCCTTGCCCGCTGTGACACTGGTCAGGGTGAAGAGCTTCCAGGCCACCAGGGCCAGCACCACGGCACCAAAGAGGAAGGTGATGAGGAAGTAACCGTGGACGGTGGCGTAGAGGGCAGGCTCTTTCTGGAACCAGCACCTGGAGGAAGTGGATGGCCACTGGGACTGGGGGAGGTGAGCCTGGCCAGCCAGCCCCAGGACTCCTGCCCCTGCTGACCTTCTGTGACCTGGAGGACACCTCCCCCCACCTCCACCTTCCACACCCCGCTCTTCCTCGGGGTATACGGGGCCTCCACAGGCTCCCTCTTGCATCTCTTTGTTTTATTCATTTATTGTTTTGGTACCGGGGATTAAACCAGGGGTGCTTCACCACTGAGCCACATCCCTGGCCCTTTCTAATTTTTTTTTTTTTTTTTTTATTTGAGACAGGGCCTCACTATGTTGCTGTGGCTGGCCTTGACCTTGTAATCTTTCTGCCTCAGCCTCCCGAGTCTCTGGGATTACAGGCCACAGCGCCCAGCTCAGGTTGGTGTCTCTTTAGATCGTGGTGCAAAAGGGCCAGACCAACTCCAAAGGCCTGTTCCACTTGCTCCACGTTGTGGGGGACTAGAAGGACATTCTCCATCAAAGATTAGCCTGACAGCCCCCTGGGAGACATTCTGCCCTGAAGGCATCCTGCAGCTACCTATCTCCCTGGAACATCCTGCGGTTATCAGGATCATCAGACATCTTGCAGCTGGCAGTTTTACCACCCACATCCAGCAATTGCAGAGACCTTCCCCATCCCTAGCATATGAATACCCACCCAGCAATTGCTGATTAGAGAGCTTCCCCATCCCCAGCATATAAATACCCCTGTGTGAACAATAAAAGTTTGCAGCTTGATCAGAACTTTTGTCTTGCTGTCACCCTTCGTGTCTCTTGTCCCTTCATTCCTCCCCATGTAGGTTCGCTGCCCACGTTGATGTGTCCTGCCAGACGGGACACCATGTCATGTTGTAAAAAATATGAATTTGTAGCCAGTTGGGCATAAACACCCAGAATTTTGCTTCTCCTATAAAACCACTCATAGGCTGCCCTGTGGACGTCCTTCCTGGAGGATAATGATTGGCAGCCCCTTAGACAGACAGGGGACTCCCMCTCCACTGCAGAGCCCCGTGGCCACCATGTGCACTTATATGACTTATTGGGCTTCTGAGGACCCTGCATTTGGGGCCCTGTGGACAGGCACAAGGCTGCCCCAACCCCTCCCAGCACAGAGCCAAGAGGCCAGAGCCCCCCTGGAGATCACTGGGTAGAAGTCTGGAGGCTCAGCCAGTTCCACTGCTCCCTGCACCACAGGGCTAAAGGCCTGAAAGGTATGTCCATCAGCTGCTCCAGGGTACAGAAGAAGAGACTGGGGTCCCAGTGAGGACAGGTTTTCCCAGGGTCACACTCACAGCAGTCGGGGGCAGAGGCTGACTGGACCCAGGGATGCTGGGAAAGGTTGGGCAGGTCATGTCCTGCATGAGGGCATCTGGATGAGGGTCAGGCAGGGGCTGAAATCCAGCATGCCCTGCACTCACTAGGCTGAGAACCAGGCATGGGAAGGGTGTCACCATGGTGGCTGGTGGTGGCCCCAGGGCAGAGGGGAACATCCTGGCCCAGGTCTCCCTCTCCCTTCCTGAGGAAGCCCCCTCTCCCATTTCACTTCCTTTCTGCAGATTTCAGTTTCCCCTGTGCCACGAGCCAGCTGGACCTGAGGATCCTTCTAGGCTTGACATTCTCCATGTGATTTCCTAGGATCCCCTCCCCACCTCCCTAGAGCATTAATATGGTGACGCTAGAGGCTCCTGATCACCCGTCTCCCGACAGCCACCACTCACAGCTCCAGAGAGGTGCGGTTCTCCTGGTCGCGGATGGTGTAAAGGCCATAGCTGTTGGCACTTCCGGTGCCAATGACCATGAGGGCGGGCAGGCCTGGGCACAAGAGCAGGAGGTGTGGCACTTCCAGGCTCCCTTGGCATGTCCTCCTCCAAATCCCCTCCAGTCCTGGGGGAGCGGGAACACCCTTCCCTCTCCCCAAGGCTGCCCCTCCTCTCTGTCCCCCAGGACCACCGTCCCCTGTCCCCCTCCACGCAGCACCTACCCCAGCCCACCAGGCTCAGCTTCAGGTAGTAATGGCCGAAGTAGGTGTTGAAGACCTTGATGACGAGGAGGTAGAGGTGGAAGGCTTCCAGGCCCATCCAGGTGAAGGTGCAGAGCAGGAAGTAGTGGAAGATGGCTCCCCGGATCCAGCATGCCGCACGGGACCCTGCCGAGCCGCTGCCCACGCTGACCAGGAAGGCCAGATTCAGGAGGAACAAGCTACTGCTCAGGGCCACGTGAATCTTGGGGGCATCTTCGGACTTGAATCTCTGCAGGGAGAACCTGGGGCCAGAAGGACCAGTGAGAGGCCCTGGGGGCTGCCGCTCCCTGGGGCCACCCAGGCCTGTCCATCCCACCATCTAGGTTCCTCCCCGACAGCCCGGGGCTCTCAGCCTTGTGGTCAGCTCCCGTGTCCATCTCTGCCAGCAGCCAGAGGTGAGTACCCTCAGGTTCAAGTTCAGGAGCCCTGCTGTGGCCCAAGGGCACCCTGGGTTCTGGAGTCTGCCAGCCTCATCYCTGGACTCTGGGCTTCAACCAGCTGCATAACTTGCCATCCCTTGAGCGCAATTTGCTTTCCTGCGCCTCCCAGACTTGGCCATGCCCAGCTCCGTTCTCAAAACCCTTCCTGTTCCTCAACTCTACCCAGGGGGTTCCCCGACTCCTGTTCTCCTCCCAAGCTCCCCGGGGACAGTTCCTTCTGGGGAGCTGTCTCCACACTCTCCTGACCTGAGCCCAGGCTGATCGGACGTTTCCAGCCACACAGCGAAACGTTCTCCTCTCCCCTCCCTGCACCATAGACATAGTCCTGGCACAGGGCCAAAAGGGGCCCAGGGTTCATTGTTGGGTGAGTAGATGGGCATGTGGGTGAACAGGGGTAGTAGGAAGACAGGCTCATAGAGGGACAGGGACTTTCACAGAGTCACGGAGCCTGGCCTCAGCCTCCCTGCTCAGTGCTTCTTTGCAGGGCTCGCCTCCCCCCCACTATGGAGACCTCCCTCTGAATTCCTAGCAAATTAGATCCAAAAGGACTCTTGCCACTGGGAGCCGTGGCCCACACCTGTAATCCCAGGGGCTCCAGAGGCTGAGGCAGGAGGATCGCAGGTTCAAAACCAGCCTCAGCAAAAGCGAGGCCCTAAGCAACTCTGCGAGACCCCGGTCTCTAAATAAAATACAAAGTAGGGCTGGGGGTGTGGCTCAGTGGTTGAGTGCCCCTGAGTTTAATCCCCAGTACCCACCCCCCAAAAAAAGGACTCTTGCCTGAGGGATGGGAGCCTGGGGCTGCCTGGAGGGGGCATGAGGGGGCATGTCCCTAAGAACACCCTTCCCTTCTGCGCACTCATCCATGGCATGTGAGGGAGCTGGTGGCTGGTCCTGTCTGCTCCAACTCAGGAGCAGGTGTGTAGCCCGGCCTGGCCAGCGAGCGCCCTCCAGCCCCCGACCACAGTGGACCAGTGAGACGGCTCTGGTGTAGGCACAGGGTAGACGGCGGGAGCGGCCAGTTCCATGGGTAGGTGACCTCCGCAGGGCCTGGAGTCACGAAGGCCCTGGGCTTGGTTACAGCTCTCCTGACCCGTCCTGGCAGCTGAATAATGCCTGAACAGGGAGCCACGGCGTTTCATTTGGGAACAGGTCCTGCCACTCCTGCCCCAGGACCCATGTGTGTTTAAGATGATTAAAGTGGGAGGAGATCTGTGACCCACCGTCACCTTCCTGGCTCGGGTACTCTCTAGTTTCATAAGACGTCACCATCGGGGAACGTTGTGGGGAGGAACTATGGACTCTGTGCTATTTTTGCAATTTCCAGTTGGTCTATAATTGTTTCAAAATAAAATATGTTTTTACAAAAGACCAAGACCTGGGGACCTCTTTTGAGCCTCTGGATCTAACCCTGCCTGAAGCCCACACTTGTGAACCATGTCTGCCTTATCATGGTTTGTGAAGCCAATCTGAGTTGCTGCCACTTGACACACTTCAACCTCTACCCTGCTTCGTGGGCAAGGAGACTGAGGAGCGGTGAGGGCTCTACCCTGCTCCCCAAAGGTGTGGGCTGGGCTGGGGCCACCCACCTCAGGGTAAGATAGAGGACAATGGTGAAGGCCAGGAAGATCATGGAGACTCCACAGCCTGCCTGGGAGATGTGAGTGAGGACCTGCACGGTGGCCCGGTCCAAGACRGGCCTCTGCGGATGACAAGGACGACATAAAGAGCAGGTCCACACTCCCCCAAAACCCCGGCCCTGTCAGGAAGCCCCTCCCTGGGGCAGGACTACGGGGTCACAGTGGAGTGGGCTTTACCAACAGCAAGGCAAAGAAGGTCAGGTGGTCACAGTGGCAGACAGTCCCCTCAGCTCCGAGCTCGGTGGAGCAGCCCTTGGAGTCCCAGTCCCCAGCAGGCCCTGGAGGGGAGGAGAGGGGACCCGGAGGAAGGGAAGGGAGGCCCCTAGGGTGGGACTTGCCTCCCCCCCGTGGGAGCCCACAGTCTCCCTCTGACACCCCAGAGAGGGTCCTCCAGGCCTTACCTTTATTCACATCCCAGAACACGCAGGTGAGGGTCGCGTTCTGAAGCCAGAGGGTGGAAGTCAGGAGAGAGGAAAGAGGCCAGGGCGGGGGTGGGCTGGGTGGAGGGGGGGAGAGGACACCGTCCCCAGGCCTAACCTGGGGTGCATTAAGGAAAAGTCGCCCCGTGGGTTACATAGGAAAGTGGCCTGCACCTTGGTGTGCCTGGACCGGTAAGTGAGGGACACAAAGATGGCCTGGGGCGGTGGGCCGAGGGTCTGTGCGTCTGCACCTGTGCCTTTAGGGAGCCCGGTGTGGGCGGGTGTGGGAAACAGTGGGCWTGCAGGCGGCTGGCCTGGTCCTCACGTGCCCCGCTGTGAGCACGGAAGTGCCAGGTGTCTCTGGCACAATTGTGTGTATGTCCCTCATGGCTTCTCTTGGGCAGATGGTCCCACGTGTGTCTGCACAGAGCCCCGGTGCCTGTGTGTGCCCACCCGCCTCACTGCCTGATAGTGAGGCCAGGCCCCAGGTAGGGACTCACGGGGGGCTGACGCTGGTGGGAGAAGGTGATCTCCAGAGGCTCTGGCAGCCCGGTGACAGGGGTGCGACCCACGCTCAAGCCCACCATGTGGTTGTTCAACACACTGCTGCCGTCTTCCAGGCGAAGCTGGGGGCCCTGCAGGGGGAGGGGGAGGCCAGGCTGCAGCAGGGACCACCCCAAGCCCCCCTGGCTGGAGATCCAGGAGACTCCAGGACTTGGGGCCCTTGCCTGGGGGCAAAGGCCGAGGCCCCGTGCTCCAGACCAGCTGATCACAAAGCCCTGTACCCKAGAGCCCTCTGCTGTGGGCCCGAGCTCCTCTGTCCTGTTACCCAGGGGGTCACAGGGCTAAGATCAGCCGAGAAACCAGGGGCAGTGGGTGTCTTCAGGTGGCTGAGCACCCACACCCAGGAGACCCCACATCTGTACACAAGTGGCCACGCGCCTCTGGGTACGCACACTGGGTTCCCATTTGCAAGAGCGTGAGCTCGTCTGTTCATTGACTAGGTCACATGTGAGTGGTGCAATTGTGTGTGTACAGAAATAGAAAAGGACACGCATGTTTGTGCCAGGGCATGTGAGCACGCTGGGGTCTCGTATGCAAGCCAAGGGTTGCTGATTATGGGGCGGTGGAGGCTGCAGTCCGTGCCCCCTACAAATGGCTCTGGATGACCTGGCTGCTCTGGAGACACTCTCAGGGCTGGGCACCTCCCTCCCCCCCAACCCCAAGGACTCCAGCCAGGCTCAGGCTGGTGCATGGGACCACGGAGAACCCAGCATTGAACCTGAATCCTCACCTTGAAGAGGTCCCCAGCACCGATGTCCAGAACAGATATGGCCAAGCGGACTGCTGACCTGCTGCCCGGCAGGGAGGCGAAAAAGCTCCGGGGAAGTCGGACTCTGTCAGGGGGCTTGTCCTCGCCCATCATCACCTGCCTCGGAATCTGCAATCACAGGCCAGCACTCCAGCCCCCACGCAGGTCCGCCACTGCCCCAGTTGGAAGGGGAGACTGAGGCGCGCTGGGCAGAGGGGCAGCACTTACAGACCACCACTCCCGAGGGGCAGGACACTGGGGTCTGCTCCTCACAGGCCATGGGCCTCGAACAGTCAATGACACCTGTGTAACCTCAGTGTCCCCAGTATAGAAAACAACCACCTGCCACCGTGGCCACCTGCCAGGCTGAAGGTAGCTCCTGAGAGAAGACCCCTGGGCGGCCTCAGTTTGCAAGGAGGGGGAAGGCCAGCAGTTGAGAGCCTTGGGCGGGGACCTAACAGCCCCATGCTCCCACATGGCTCCATGGTGACCGTGTCTGGCTTCGGACTCAGGAATAAGTGGAAAGAATCAGGCCACCAGGAAGGAAGGTCAGCAAGGGACACGAGGGCAGAGGGGCAGGACACACACATTCACTGAACGAAATCCTTCCTGCCCAACAGCAAATTGTTTAAAAGCGAAKGATGCTCAGAACATGAGAATAAACCCCAGGGGTGATCACAAAGCCCACTCTGTTCATTCTCTGATCTCCCTGACCCCCCGGGGGGCTGCAGCCCGCTCCCCGCTGGTCCCTGCCTCAGCAGCATCCCAGGCGCATTGGAATAGAGGAGCCAAGAGCTGGAACGAAAGCCCCCGTTTTCTCGTTCTCAGTCCAGACACAGTTGAAAGGACCATGCCAGGCAGAGGTGAGTGACATAATCAAGGGTGGAGAAAGACCCTCTCTGTCTTCCCCTTTCTCCAGAAAGAACCAAAATTCCCTCAGGGATAACCAGCCTCCCCAGCCGCCTGGTTCTTCACCATCAAATCCGTCCCCTAGGCAGGCTGCTGGCCTGGGAGCCCCAACTTTACCAGGGTGGGTTCACTCCTCCAATCACACAGAGAGTGGCAGCTCCTTCATCATTTTACCGATAGGGAAACTGAGGCTCCGTAAAGTCATTTCCTCATAATCTTAATGGCAGAGCTGGGATGTTTTTCAATATTTTTTATTTGTTAATGGCCCTTTATTTTATTTATTTATTTTCATGTGGTGCTGAGAATCGAACCCAGCACCCCACACATGCTAGGCAAGCACTCCACCACTGAGCCCCAGCCCCAGCCCCAGAGCTGGAATTTGAGCCATGCCCCTGCCCATGTAGCCCTTCTGCTGCCAAGTGTATCCTCCCTGGTTTTAAATGTGTTCCCTGGGCAGCAGAGCTCATGGGGATTTTAGACTTGGAGGAGCTTGAGAATTCATCCTACTTATGAGGATTCTGGGGCCCAGAGAGGAAGAGGGACTTCTGGGGACATCCAGGGAAGAAGTGGGAAGGCCAGTACCAGACACTGTTCTCTGGACTCTCAACTCAGTGGTCTCCCAGAGGTCTCCTCCCACCAGGTCCGCTCACCCAGGTAACGCACTGGTTAACTCACTAGCCCCCGTTCACAAGGCAGGAAAGTTCTACTGAATGGAACCCGGGAGGGTGAGGCTCTCACGGGCACATGGCACTGGACATGGCTCTCTCAGAATCTTTCACTGTGTGCCCAAGGACAACAGGGTCAAGGCCAGCCAAGGGGCTCGGGAGAGCTCGTCACCTGAGCGGGTCTCAGAGAGAAAAGCAGATCTTCCGAGGTGTCGGTGCTGAAGTTCTGGACCAAAGCCTTCACAAAAGGCAGATCCACCTTGTCCTCCAAATTCTTCTCCACCAGGTAGAACTCGTAGTGTAGCCAGTATCTGCAAAGGGCCAGGGTTGGGGGAAGTAGGAGCCTGCAGGCGGAGTCACCCACTCATCTGACCCAGAACACCAAAGATGCTGGGGTCACTGCGGGAGAAGACGGGTGGCTGGGGAATAACCAGGTCAGTCCCAAGGGATTCCAGCTAGGGGTCCCTCTTTTTTTTTTTTTTAATCTTTTCTGTGATAAAATACAAATAACAGAATTTGCCATCTTAAAGTGCACAATTCAGTAGAAATAAGTACCTTCAAAACGTTGTGGGACTGTCCCCACTATCTAGTTCTCGAACATTTTATTATCTCAAAAGGAAGTCCCATATCCATGAAGCAGTCACTCTCCCCACTCAGCCCCTGGCAAACTGTTAAATTTGCCTTCCTGCCTCTATAGGTCTGCCAATTCTGAATTGTTCAGGCAAACAGAACCATACAGGAGGTGGTCTTTGGCATCTGGCTTCTTCGTGTGGTGTTGTCAAGGTTAATGCATGTAGAATCATCATCATTATCTTATTCCCTTTTATGAATCAAGATCCTTTCGTTGTATGGATGTACCATATTTTGGTTACCCATTGATGGACCTTTGGATCTTTCCCACTTTTTGGCCAGTGGGCAAAATTACGAAAATCCACGTGCCAACTTTTGCCTAAAGATTTGTTTTCAATCTTTACACGGGAAGAGAATTGCTAGGGGACGTGGTAATTCTACATCTAACCTCTCGAGAAGTTGCCAAACCATTTTCCACAACAGTTGCGCCATTTTGTAGTTGCCTAGCAACATCCGAGGGTCCCAGTTCCCCCACATCCTTGCCAACGCTTAAAAATCTTTCATTTTTGTTTCAAAATTTTAAGTTTGATTTTTGCCATTCTCATGGGCTAAATAAAAGGCTCATGGTGTCTCATAGTTTTGATTTTTCACTTCTCTGATGACCAGTAGATGTTGAGCATCTTTTCACGCGTGCTTATTGACCTTCTATAGTTATTTGGAGAAATCTCCCCCAGGCACATCAGCACACTGCTTGAGTACTAACTCAACAGAGAGAAATTTGGTTTTTGAGAACTGAGCTGCATGGGAACCGCCTGGGAACAGAGCTGGTGTTGGAACCATTGAAACAGGAATTAACTGGCATTTATTTTGCCAGGGCCACCCAGTGGTGCTCTCCGTGGTGCTGAAATCTCACCGTGCACCAGGATCCTTTTCCTAGGCATGGAGTCCCCAGAGCTCCTGCCAGCCTGTTCTAGAAATTCTGAGCAGGGGAAGGCTGAGGTAGTAATGGGACTAATGGGGAGGAGTGGAGATATGACCAAATGAAAGTTCTGGAAAGGAGTAACCATGGAGGAAAAAAGGGAGCCTTTTATTTTGCCATCATTCTTGAACAGTCACTGTTATGAAGAGCAAAACAAAACAAAACAAAACAAAACCCCAGAGACTACAGAAAATATATTGTGCAACAGGAATGGCAAACCATGCAAATATATGCACAGATGCTTTGGTGGAAAAGGCATGAGAAAAGCAGCCAGCCAGATAGATGGTCCAAACCCATTGATTGAGCTACACCAATTGATCCTAGGTTTCATTTACCTTTAAAATATCTAGACAAAGAAGTATCATGACTTTTATGGCAATCAAATAAAATAACAAATTGTAGAAGTATTGTAATTTTGTTGCCAAATAAAACACTGAATCATATACATATATATTCAATTCACTATATATATTCACATGTATTCAATTATATATGCATATATACATATACATATACATGTATGAATATATGTGTTTATATTTATACATAAATATGTTTATACACACACACACACACATATATTAAATTCATGCACTTAAACATAATTCCTTTGCTTTGCAAAACAACCCAATTCACTCCTGAGGACAATTTTCTGATCTGATTATCAGGTGTAGGAATTATTATAATTTTATGTGGCCTCAGAATATCTTTTTTTTTTTTTTAACCCAGAGGCACCTAACCACTGAGCCAGCCACATCCCCAGCCCTTTTCAGTTTTCATTTTGAGACAGGGTCTGGCTAAGTTGCTTAGGGCCTGGCTAATATGCTGAGGCTGGCTTTGGACTTGAGATCCTCCTGCCTCAGCCCCCGAGCCGTGATATTACAGGTGTGTCCCCTGTGCCCAGCCTAAACATACATTTTGAATATCCACTGGACTTTCTCTTAGCAGAAGCAGGCCTCGCCCTTGACACAGTTTCCTGCTCTCCCGCTCCTCCAGTTCGTCCATGTGCTCAACCCAGTTATCCACCTTGTACAACTGTCTCTTAGTGACCACTTCCCTCTGGGATAGCCAGAAACATCACACTTGACTGGCGCCAGTGACCCACATCCCCCAAATGAACCATGCAGACGTGCACAATGACCACATCCCAGTCCTGCATGACCTACTAGAATTCACGCCTATTTCCTTTAACCCCGCCAATAACTCCCCTGCAGAAATGCTTGAATAAGCCTTGGACCCCAAGGAAATCTTTGACACATAGATCTCTCTCTCTGTCTCTCTCTCTCTCTSTSTCTCTCTCTCTCTCCCTGGCTGCACTTCCTGAAGAGTGTGTGTGTGTGTGTGTGTGCACGTGCACACACATGCACGGTCTCCAGATGTGCCACAAACTCTCCAGGATCCATAAGTATAAAATATTTATTTCTATCTCATATCCCTCCTAATTATTGAAGAGTGCTCTCCATTTTAAAAATCCTAAATCACAACATCAGCCCACTTTAAAATATTATTTTAGTTGTGAAATGGGATACATATTTAAAAGTTTAAAGCATAGATGTATGATTAAATATTGTTATTATTATAATTATTTTCATGCTGGGGATTGAATCCAGGGGTGCTTACGCATTGAGCCACATCCCCAGCCCTTTTTATGTTTTATCTAGAGACAGGGTCTCTCTGAGTTGCTTAAGGCCTCGCTAAGTAACTGAGGCTGGCTTTGAACTTGTGATACTCCTGCCTCAGCTTTATAAGCCTCTGGGATCACTGGCATGCACCACCATACCCAACCGGTTTAAATTATTAATCATAACATTGGCACTCACTGAAGTATCACCTTCTTTGATATGAATACAGCTACTTGGATTTCCCCTGGTTTACTTCAGATGTATTTTTTTCACATTGTGCCCTTTTTTTCAAAAGAAGTGCTATGAGATTCAAAAGTAGGGCTCTCCTCACATTATCCAGGCCTCCAAATGTCCAGAAAATTCTCTGAGGCATAGGCCCCGCACTCTTGTGGGGTTTCTCTCCTATCCCGGATGTCTTCCTGAGGCACATTAAGGATTGTCACGGTGGTTCTTATGAATAATGTCCCCACGGACATCTGAATTCCAGTCTCTGGGGACATATGTTTTCCTTCCTTTTAGGCAGATACCTAGGAATGAAGTCAGGGTCCCATCGACTCAGTGAATGTGAACAGATCCCCTCAAGGTAAAAGACGAGGCTCTGGCCTTCACTCTGCTTACGTTGGTAAAACAGGCCCAATGTGGGGAAGAACCCAACACGCAAACGCGCCTCATCAGATCTACTCAGCACACCAGGGGGAGAGCGGAGAGGAGCTTGCAGAACATCAAGATGAAGAAGGTCTCTGTGAACTCTTGACAGAGAGCAGGAGAACTGGGAGAGCCCAGGTAATCACTGTGGCGTATACAGTTGGCGCTGCAAGATTACAGTAAACTGTTTACTGAAGATTGGAATGGAGAAAAAGCATTAGGCATGTGTTTGCTGTATGCCCATTGCCAGGGGCTGGGCATGTGCTGGAGCTGGCACACTCACGGGCAGCTGCAGGCGGCTGACCCCCTGAGGAAGTTCATCCTTGCCCCTTGGTCCTTCTTGAAGGCCACCTGACCCATGGGGAGTTGAGCAGGGTGATGTCACATCCCTGCTTCTGTCAGGTCTTGGATGGTGGCAGTGACCCCTCCAGTTCTTCCAGGGATGTGGTTTACTAACTCAATTGGAAGATGTGCCAGAACCTTCTATTTAGCCTTCCATGAAATGCCTCTCCAAAGCAATTCAATGGACAAAGGACAGACTACCCTTTGTCTTTCATCCAGTTCTTTGATGAAAGAACTGGCTATCCAAATGCAAAAATGGTAATTACAGTAATGATGATCACCACGTAAAGTTAGGCATTTGTCTCACATTGTGCACAAAAATTAATTATAAATGGATAACCCAATTATAAGAGCTAAAACCAGACCCTTGTAGAGGAAAACTCAGGAGAAAAATCTGTGTAACCTTGGGCTAGGTGAATATTTCTTTGATATGATATTAAGCACACATATGCAAATTTAAATTGGGTTTCATCAAAAAACGCTTTTGATCTGCAACAGACAGCATTAAGAAAATGAATAAGACTCACACTGGTAGAAAAATATTTGCGAATCATACATCTGATAAAGGACTTATTAATAATAATGAGATTGTTAATAGTAAGAAGGCGAATCAATAAAAAGGGGGAAAGATTAAATACTCCTTTCACCAGAGAGAATCTACAAAGGACTAATAAGCTCATGAAGAGCAGCTCAGCTTCATTCCTCATTTATGAATGCAAATTAAAACCACAGCACAACATCACAGCACGTGCACTGGAATGGCTACCCCTGAATACACTGGAGGGAATTCAAGTGAGTATTGAAACCAGAGCCTTCTTATGTTCTTGAAGTGAATGCAAAGGAGGCAGCCACTTTGAGAAACAGCTTGGCAGTCTTTCATGACACAAAACATGCTTAACCGCATAGCCCAGCAATTCCCTTCCTTAGTGTCTACCCCACCCCGCAGGGGAAAACATATCCACAAAGACTTGAGTTCCAACGTTCATGGCAACGTTATTCAAAATAACCCAGAACTGAAGTCGATCCATGTGCCCATCAACTGGTGAATGAATACACTCAATGTCATAGAGCTATATGATATGTATATTAGCATATGCTAGAAATATGATTGGAACTCAATGCATGCCAAGAGAAAGTAGCTAAACCCCAAAGACCACCTGTTGTATGGATCTCTTGAGATAAAATGCCCAGAAAAGGCAAATATCAGACAGGAAATAGATCAGTGGTTGACCGTGGCTGGGAACGGGGGCTGGACTTTATGGCAAAGAGATACAAGGGTACCTGGGTGGACAGGGGGGAGGTGTTCTAAGCAGCTGTGGTGAAGAGTCCACACTCTGCGCAAATGCACTACAATCATTGACCTGTGTAGATGGTGTGGGATATATATCCCAATTAATCTATCAAAATTAACAGAAGCAAATGATACACAAGTCTATTTACTCGGCAGGGGCTAGAATTTAGAAGATGGATAATACCAAGCATCGCAAAGATGTGCGGAGCTGGAGCGCTCACACGTGACTGGAAAGAGTGAAGGTGATACACCCACCACAGAAACTATGGCAGTGCTTACTAAGACAAGCCACATGCCCATCTGTGACAGAGCACCCGCTTCTTAGGTATTGGCCCAAGAGAAAGAACACGTTCCAAAAAATGTTCACTCCCAGTGGCTTGAGAGGCTGAGGCACCAGGATCGCAAGTTCAAAGCCAGCCTCAGCAAGGCTCTAAGCAACTTAGCAAGACCCTGTCTCAAAATAAAATATAAAAAAGGGGCTTGGGATGTGGCTCGGTGGTTCAGTGCCCCTGGGTTAAATCCTCGGTATTCAAACAAAAACAACACAGAAAACGACCCAGGCTCCCAAAGAGCCTTAAATACATGGATAATATGTCCTTGAGACAATTTTCATAGTTCTGAACTGCACCGTCTGAGTGCTAACGGCAAAACCAAAACCCTCTGTGAAGCCGAGCAGAGCTTCTGCAGTCTGTTATTTTCCTGTAGGGGACTGTAGACATAAATGGGAAAGATATTCCATACAGCTTTTAGAAGAATAGGAGGGCCTCTTCCTGGGCTAGGGATGGGTGAGAACTTCGTAAACAAGACAGCTAAAACTTGACAACCCGCCCTATAACAAAATGAAGAACTTCTGGGCTTAGTCAAGACAGCACCGAGAGAAAGAGGTAACCCCCAAGTAGACAGACTATGATTCCCATGCGTGTATGTGTAAAGACAAGTATCAGGAACATGTAAAGAATCCCCCCAAATCAAAAAGAATAATTCAAACAACTTCACAGAACAATGAGCAAGAGGCTTAAAAGGGGTGCTTTGCCAAGAGGATATCAAGATGCCAAGTGAGCACGTGACAGGTGGGGACCTTGAACGTCATCAAGGAGCTGTCGATTATTATGAGCTGCACTCTGAACCTGCCACATGGCTCAAGTGAGAAAGCAGACCATCCCAAGTGTCRACAAGGCTGCAAAGCATCTGGAACTCTCATAAGCTGTTGGTAGGAGTGAAATTTGGCTCAACCATTTTGGAGAACTGCTTTCCAGTTTCTACTAAATTTAGTGAGTGGGTCATACGTCTATCCTCTGACCCTCCCTGCCTAGGAAGATACCTTACGGAAACACAGGCATTCAACAACATACACCATCAGGAATGCTCATAGCAACGCTCTTCGTATAGGCCATCCACAAGGAAGACTGGATAAATGAGTCRTGAGTCGTGTGTGACATAAGAAGCTAAAAAGAAATATACCAGTTAAAATGATAGCTGTTCCCGGAGGGTAAGATTAAGGGAATCTTTTTCATGTTCCTTTCTGCACCTATTTTCCAAATATTTTGTGATGAAGACATATTTTATGATGAGGAAAACCATTAACATAAATAACACTAACACCCGTTGAGTTCCTACTCTTCACTCATAGTTCTTACCCGCATGATCTGATCCTCTAAGCTCCATGTTAACCCCCTGAAGAAGGCAGGAGAGCCCCTGCAGCAAAGGCTTTGGACCAGCAATAAAAGGACAGGGCTGACGGGGGACTCGGGGACAGCTAACATGTCTGGGTTATATATTCAGCCTCACAGTCGTTCTAGGATGAGGTGTTATTTTAGTCCCATTCTACAGATGGGGAAACTGAGAGCTAACCCATCCAAAGGCCAGTGCCACTTTTCAGCTCTGGTGGTCTCAGTCCAGCCTGGGTCACACGAGGCCCCTCCCTCACGTCCTTCCGAAGATACAGAAGCAGCTGCGGGTGGGGATGGGACCGTTTTTCAGGCCACCAAAGGAATGCTGTTCCATCAGGCTGCTGTCCTGAGAGCACCAAGTTTCCATTCATTCCTTCAAGGAGTAATTGTCGAGCCCCAGCTGGACGGCAGGCCCTTCTGGGGGTATTCGGAGGGGCGATGGGTGGAGAGAGGCAGGGGTATCTGGGGAGAGGGCTCTTGAAGGTGCGTTCTGAGGCCCTCCCTCTCCTCTCCCCCAGCTCACTCTGGCTCCTTTCTGCTGATCTCACCGTGCTCTCCCGGGGCCACCTGTCCGGCACAGCTTGCCTGGTGGCTTAGGTCTCGGTTCAGCCTTTGCTGGTGTCCACCCTGATKCGGGGCTGGGTGGACCCCAGGGCCTGGCACCCGCTAGGCAAGGGCTCTACCACCGAGCCGCCCCCAGCCCTAGTCACGGTTTCTAAAGTGCAAAGTCGTCTACACTCTTTGGGGGCTTGACAGTTGGCACCTGCCTGCTTCCCCAGGTCRGACCGGCTTACACAGCCCCTTCCTCCTTGGTCCTTGCTTTTATTTCCCATCCTATTCCCCTGCCCGTCCCTCTTGTSATCGTCGCCTCCATCCCTAGAACTTTATACTTGGCAGCTCAAAATCCTGTAGTCTTTCCCCATCATCTGAAAGTCTGATCACCCGCCATTGATGGGTCTAATCATAAAACTCCTACGTACTCTTCAAAACCCTGCCTCGCTTGCCCTTTCTACAAAGGCCTGGCAGACTTTCCTCCTTTGGACTACCTGGCACCTGTCCACCCTTGGGTYACACACCGGAGTCACCATCAGTGGGGTTCATGTTCATGTCTGTCCCTCTACGACTGCCAAGGACAGAGACCCATTCCTTTCTGCATCCCTTAGGTCTGGAGGACCCGTGACCTAGCAGAGGCAGAGAGGAATCGCCAGGGGTGGGGGCTGCGTCGCGGGGAATGCAGGTGTTACATAACCAGGTGGGTCCCAGGTCCTATCCTTCCCCTCCCCCACAGAGCAGCCCCGCCCCCAGGCCTCACCTCTCCAGCTTCTCAGGGTTGCAGGAGACRTTCCCCAGCTGCAGGCACCTGGCAAAGCACTCCCCGGTGCGGTTCAAGTAGAAGGGGTCGTACTGGTCCTGGATGTCCAGCCCCTGGCAGAAGTCTCGTGGCTTTTCAGGGCCCGCCCCCTCGCCTAAGGGAGGGATGCGGAGAGTGAATGGCTGGGTGGGCGGGGCATCGGAGTCTGTGATGGGGACTGGAGCCCAGCCTCCTCCTCCACGGAGACTGTGCATCTGGCTGGACCCCGCCCACCCTGACCCTCCCTTTCCAAGGKGAAAGGAGGCACCCCTGCCACCTCACAGGACTGGTCAGGGTAGATGTGGGAAAAATAGATAGACAGACAGACAGATCACTTACACGAATTTACACTAATAGGATCACTTGGTGATATATCTTGAAGAGATTTTCATCTCAGTCTTTATATAGTTGCATACTATTCCATCCTATGGATAGCAAGACAATKTTTCACCTAGTCCCCTATGGATGGTATTTAGGTTTTTGGTTTGGGGTTTTTCTTTCCTTTTCTATTTTTACAAGTTGGAACAATGTTGCCATGACAATTCTCCAGCGTGCACCTTTGTCAGCTTATGCTGAGAATTCATAAAAAACATTCCTATCATAGGAAGTGCTGGATCAAAATGTATGTGCTTTTAAGCATTGCTAAATATGTGGGGGCTGGGTGTGTAACTCGGTGGTAGAAAGAACCCCAGCATGGCAAAAACAAAACAAAACCCAAAACAAGCCAGATGTAGAATACAGGCTTAGCAGGTGCAAGCGCCTGGGTTCAATCTCCAATGAATAAATAAGCAAACATTGTTAAATACTATTGAATTTTCCTTTAAAAAAGCCGCACCTATAAGTACTTCCACCAAAAGTGGGCAAAAGTGGCTATTTGGTCACATGTTCATAAAACCAACTTTTACCCAACTTCAAATTCTTGCCCATCTGAAAGGTGAACTTGAAAGTCCCATTCTAGTTTTAAGAAGGAGTTGGAACATCTGTCTATGTATCTGCTGGCCACGCAAATATTTGCTGGTATCTTTCCAAGGATTGCTTTGCCATTTGCTTCACACACTGGGGCAGGAAGGGGGTCTGGGCTCTGGGCATCTTCATCTTTCAGACCAGCCCACCCAGAGCAGTTCCCTGAGCCTCATCTGGGGTGAAGTGGGCAAGGATCATTTTAAACGCCCTTCTCTGGTGTTACAATTAAAAAAACAAACAAACTAAAAAATTGCATGCAGTAGTACTTTCAAGTTAAACTAGTTGGGTTTTTTATTTATTATTATTATTATTATTATTAATTATTATTATTATTAATTATTATTTTAGTAGTAGATGGACAGAATACCTTTATTTTATGTATTTACTTTTATGTTGGTGATGAGGATTGTGCTAGGCAAGCGCTCTGCCACTGAGCCACAACCCCGGCCCCTGGTTTTTTATTTTTAAGACAAAAAGTGTATGGGGAACGATATTGGCCACCTTGTATGGACATATGGCCGTGCATGTATGAATATGTAACAGTGTATCCCACCACTGTGTATCATTATTATGCGTCATAAAAAATATGGGGGAAGAGAAGTCCGTGGTAASTGTCATGGCAGAAAGGAGTAACCACGGGTTAAAAAGTGACATCTTACAGTCGATCGTATAATCATCAGATCTGTATGTGACGATGTTGTCTTCATTACTTATAAAGGAGCTGCCCACTTGTGTTAGCCTGTGAGGATTTTTAGGATGCCTTGTTGGACGGGAAAGGCAGGTGCTCCGAGAGCTGAGAGCCGCCCAGGGTGGGATCCTTTTCTGCCCTGGAGTAAAGGGTGGGTGGGGAGGAGGAGGGAGAAGGGGACAGAGGGGGAGTGGATGCTGACTTGGGAGGGAGTGGCCCTTCCTCCCTGTCCCAGCCCTGCCCAGCCCTGGTCTGTCCCAGGCGCACAAATGTGCAGGAGCAGAGAGGCCCAGGGCGTGGGGGGACTGTGCATTTCAGGAGGTCCCCACGGAAGCTCCTGGTGAGAACCCAGCTCAAAGAACATTGTTAAACAGCTTTTTGTGATTCTTGTTTTCCATGTCAGAAGCACTGAGCCCAGACAAGCAGATCCCCCAAACGGCCTCAGTGTGGAGAGCGCCACCCACCCCAGACACCGGGCCTGGTCCACCCACACTGCCCCAGGCTGCTCTGTGTGGCCCAGGGAGGGGGCAGAGGTGAGAGGGGGAGGCCAGGGCGGCCTCCAGGCCTCCTCCCATGCCCTCCAGCCCCTCCCTCCTGCTCCCCAGCCTCACTTTTCCTTGGGGACACCTTCCTCCCTTAGCCTTCAGACTCGGGTACCGAGACCTGTCCTCAGAAGAGCCACTACGGGTGTTTGTCCCCCTCCTCCTCCCCCACCTCGGAAATGGGCCCTTTAGGATCCCTCCATTACCCTGGAGCAGGCATCTGACCCCTGCTCAGCCTTCACCCTCAGCCTCCACATGCGGGTCCCCAGCACACACCCCAGGGTGAAGCACCCCTGTCCGTCTGCTAGACCGTGAGCCCCGAGGGAGTAGGGACCAAGTGGCACAAACTCGGGATCGACGCAGGGCACCGTTGGTGCTTCTCGGATGAAYGAATGAGTAAATGACGGAGTGAATGAATGAGTGAGTCGCAAATGGAGACTGCCCCATCAACATCCCCAAAGGACAGAGTCTCACCTCTAGACTTGAACCTGCCGAGCTCCTTATGTCACTCAAATGGCTGCCCCTTCCCCCAAGCCCAGAGACCCCACACCACCATCAGAGGAGCCTTGAAGGCCCAACAGCAAAGTCTGGCTTTGGCGAAGACCCAGGTCCTAGGACACTCGTGAGGCCCGGTGACAGCCATCCCCCACTAGGTTAGCCTAACTGCCCGCACTGGGCCAGGCCCTCCCTGGCCACCAGAGGGGCAGTGCCACTGGGCACTGTTTTGAGGCAGAGACAGAAATTTGCACGTTGCTGGGTCTCCCAACCTTTGAAGAGAAGAGGGGGCTTTGTAGCCCAGAGAGGTTGGTCAGAGCCTGGGCCCCTGCTTGYTCCAGCTGCAGTGAGTGGTCAGCGCCTCTGTCTCCCTGATCCCGGGCTCTGAGGTCGGGGCACCTCCTGCCCCCTCTGCCTGAACCACACCAGCAGCCAAGAGGGGCACACAGAGCAGGCCGGGGCTGGGGGGGCTGCCCCTACGTCTGTGTGTAGGGGCAGGAGGCGGAGGCAGGAGGCGTCTGGGTCCAGCTCAGGTCACTGAGGACCTTGGGGCACTTGGGACACAGGGRAAGTGAGCCCATGAGGAGTGGGTGGACGGCCGCATTCAGAGTGTCCCCCAACCCCCTCCCCAGAGTCCAGAGACCAGCTGAACAGCTTGTCCCAGAGCAGGCCTGGGAGGSAGCCCAGCTGGGATGGGGCCATTCTCCATCTTCCCCACCTGCAGGGGGGCCTGCGACCACAGGATGACCACAGGACCACCGGACCCACCCAGAGGGACAAGCCTGGAGGAGGCCCAAGGCAGTGGGGTGGGCTCCGCAGGGGACATGCTCCGAGCCCCCTTCCCTTCCTGCCTGCCAGCCCCCGGCTCTCCCCCTCCCTGCCCTGGGCCTCTKGCAACACAGGGTCTCCCAGGCTTGGCAGGAGGGGCTGAGGCGCCAACACTCACCTGAGGCCAGGAGCARGAGGAGCAGGGTCCCCACGCCCCAAGGTGTCGCCATCGATGGCTGGCAGAGCCCTGCAGCTGTCTGGTCCTTYGGTCCCCAGCTCTGTCCCTCTGGTCTGCCTCCCCACTGCCCACCCCACTGTCGCTTCCGGTGACGGCCTCTTTCTCACCCTTCCTGCTCAGTGGCGCCATCGCCCTCAGTTGTGAAACTATGGGGAACTAGGCAGTGCTCCCAGTGTCACAGGCCCAGAGACCCCCTGCAGAGGGACCCAGACTGAGCGCCGCCCAGGGGCTGCTCCCACGGCCTGCCAGTGGGGCTAGGGGCAACAGGGGACTCTGTACCAGAGCAGACCCTGGGGATGGTGAGCGCAGGCCCTGGGCCAGGGCTCCACTCAGACACCTCCTCTTGCAAATGGGGACCTCATCTCCTCCGCAAAGCGCTGGTGGCAGCAGGTGGCCTCCCAAGTGGGGTCGGGATTTTCTGAGACAAGCCAGGCACCCGGCCTGGCTCTAGGGATGAGGTTGAGATGCTGGGCTGCCCCCCCCCCCAGCTGCTGGGGGCCTGGGAGGAGAGAGGAGTGGCCCCGMAGAGCTGCTCAGGATAACAGGAAGGACAGGGAGGCAGGGCGGCGTGGGGCAAGAGCACAGGCCCTGGCAGGGTGGTCAGGCCTGGGCTGACGTCTGTCCTCGCCACTTCCTGGCCAGGTGACCCTGCCTGGGCTCTCTGCCACTCACAGGGCTTGGGAGGAACTCATGACTGAGGCGATGGGGACTTGCGGGTGGGGGAGGGGCATTATCMTCACTGTCCCTCGATGGTAATCAGTTCTGTGAATTAATCGTCATCCTCCCTAGACTGGTTGCTGCTGGCCCAAGCGGGAAGTGGGGGCAGCAAACACAYGGCCACCCCCGGCTCCAACTCTGTGGCCTGGAGGAAGCCACAGGTGAGGCCAGGCCTTTGGTGTGTTCCSACGGCCACTCGGAATTCAAAAGGCAAAGGGCCCCCGTGTGTTGTCACCAGCAACCCCCAGGCCCCTGGGGCGGAGGCTAGTCCGGTGGTACCTTGGGGAGCTACCAGGCCTTCCCTGCCACAGGGTGTCCGAACAGGTCTCTGCTGGGTCCTCTGGGCCTGGGGACCGGTGGGGACAGAATTCAGGGTCACTCATGGGCTGTGGGAAGCAGGTGGGAATCCAGGGCAGAGCAGCAGCTCAGAACCCAGAGTTCCTGGGCCCCAGAACTTCCTCAGCAGGGAAGCTGGGACCCGYGGGACCTACCGGCCTCCACCCGCCACACAGGCAGGGGCCAGGGGAGGCCTCCGTGCTGATGTGCTGGGCCCGCTGCAGAGCCCCACCCTGAGCCCAGGCCCTCAGGGGACCAACAAGGGCCAGCTTGTGAAGGGCCCAGAGATCTGCAGCCGGGGACACAGGGCAGCCAGCCCCGTGGGAGAGGGACCAGGGGTGCTGGGAAGGTAGGAGGTCAGGCAGGACCAGAGGAGGGCACCAGGTCTACAGCTCTTCTGGGAAAGACCCTGTGGGGGGCCAGGGGACCACTGGAACCACTCACAGAGCCCTGGGTCCCCCAAATCTCAGGGCCAACACAACTGTGGCCACTTCTTCCACTACCTCCTGTCCCCAGCTTGTCCCAAAGGCTCTAGGAGGGCAGGGCCTCAAGCCCTCTGGTCAGACCTGGCCAGTGTCCACCCCTAGGCCACCCCATCCAGTTCCCGTGCCACAGGGACACCCACCTGGTCATGTCCTGGGGGAGGGTGATCCCCTGGTGGTCCCCTTCCACCKCCCAGGAAGAATCCTCAGGGCCCCRGGAGCATCATGGAGCCTGTCAGAAGATGGGACCGGACCCAAGACCCCCCCTCTCCTGAGCCAGCTGCAGAACTATGTTCAAGAAAGAGGAGGGTCCGAGGGGAGCCGTGCTCTGCCTGGGGGTGGGGTGAGGAGGAGGTGCCTCGCCCACCCCACCCCCCAGCCTAGACCAGTGATGAGGCTCAGAGACCCTCTGGCCCTGGCAGAGCGGCCTGCAGGACAGGAGCTGGCYCTGCTCCACCGGGCTGCCAGGCAGGCCGCCGGGTGGGGTGAGGGTGTCCTTGGGAGGGGTSGAAGGTGGGGGCAGAGGCCACCGGAAGGAGTGGAGCTGGGAAGTACAAGGGCTCCTACATACAAGGTCCTCACAGGTCCCCAAAGATCACATATCCGTGCCCTGCCTATCTACCACAGCCACCACGGTGGCCTGGTGCCATCCTGCCCCACCGCAGAGCCCCAGGCCTCTCTCTCCTGCCAAGCTCCCTCTTGCGTTGGCCACAAGAGGAGGGAGAAGGCTGGGTTGGGGACCAGGGGTGGGGCTCTGACCCCCACCACAGTGGGACTGCATACCTGAGCACAAATCGTGGTGACCAAGGTGACCTGAAGGGGGACAGGAGCCTATGAGACCTCCTAACTGGGGTCACAGGATGGGAGGGGAGACCTGGCAGAACCCAGTTTAAAGGCAGAGTGGGGTACGTGATCCACCCACCCCATTCCCGCAACCCACTGCTTCAGACCAGCCTCTGACACTGGCCACCTCCTGACCTTCGAAGTCAGCTCTCACGTGTCACCTCTCTGGCAGAGAATTTTTGGATTTACCAAAATTTAAAAATCAACAGATTGAACAACACAATCTAGATTTCTCTTCAAAGGCAGTGATCTGGCACTGACCAGCTGGGGTCAGTCACTCACAGCCCCTCAGCTCCTCCAGTTCCCCACGGACCCCCTAACCCCCACCTCGACCTGCCATTTGTCCTCCCGCCCTCCCTGGCCAGTGCTACCACGGGCTGGTGTTGCCAGCGGCTGACTTTCCCCCCCCACACACTCCTCTCTCCCTTTCCTGTTCCCTGATTGGCCCCGTGGTGTCTCTATCAGTGACATTTTTAATAGAAGCACAAGAAAAAGCTGCAAAGGAAATACTCCAAGACCCCACACTGGTTTGTTAGACAATACRAACAGCGGATTTTTATTCTCTTCTTGACAATCTTTTGCAGTTTCTAAATTGTCTACGACAGACACATACTTCTTTTAATATCAAAAGACACAAATTGCTACTTACAAAGAACATCCTCGAAAAGAACACCAAAGAACAACCCCCTCCCCCATCCTTAAGAGCGAGATGTAGAAGGGACGCTGCCTCCTGCAGGGAGTCCTCCTGGATTCTCAGCTGCAGCTCTGGCCCCTGATCTGCACCTGGGCTCCAGCGGCTCCTCAGCTATCAGTGTAGGCTTCACCTACCAGGGCAAGACTGTGCAGAGGACGTGGCCAGATCCAGTCATCTGTGTCCCTACTATCCAGCCCAGGCTGGCAATGGACCAGCCTGTGTTTATTGGACAGAATTCACCATGACGGTGTGTCCCGGCCATTKGCAGGGATTTAAGGTGACTCCTTAGGAGGCATCAGGCTCAGGCCAGTGTCCCCAGAGTAGGACAGCCCAGAGTGCCGGGATGGAAGTTAGACGAGGCTCCTGTGTTCCATAGTTCTTGCCATAGGAGGGCAGGGCCGGCCCCTCTGGAATGTGAGCAAGGGTGGAGGCAGCTGGATGGCCGGGCCAGGCGGTGGGTGGAGGGTTATCAACATGTTGGCAGATGGGCAGAGCGACTGGGGGGCTGGTGCTGAGGCAGGACTGGGCTCAGGTGGGTGCCCTGCAGCTCATTCTGGAGAGGAGACCTCTCCTCCAGGGCTCCGGCTCAACACTCTGCCTCAACCCATTGGCCACCCTCAGGTTAAAAGGACAGGAGCTTCAGGGTGCCGCCATGGTGACCACTAGAGACTGAGTTGCTACCGCCATGTTTTTGTCCTGGGCAGGGGCACAGGCTTGGGATGCCTGTGGCCTCCATGGCCCAAGGCCTGAGCCTGGGGCCTGCAGGTCCCACCCAACAATGAAGGCCGKGCCCTGGGGTGGGCAGGAAAGACAAGGCTTCAGCCCCAGTTTGGACAGCTGTGGGGACAGCCCCACAGCCTCCGTGGCAGTATGGTGAGCCCTTTGGAAGCTGGACTTGGGAGCTGAGTAGTCCCCAAGGCCAGATGGATGTCTGGTTGCCGTGGTGACAGTCCATCCTCCAGGGTCCTCGGCCTTCTCTGGCCGGCCACTGGCTGTCAGAGGTGGTGCTCAGCCTGGGGGCCGTGGGCAGCGCGAGCAGAGGCCTCATCTCTGCGTCCTCATGCGGGGCAGCAGGGCTGGAGGCCTAGATGCGGCTGGACGAGGTGCTGCCCGAGCTGATGGGCAGCCGGGCGCTGTCCGAGCTGCTCTTCAGAGGGGAGGGGCCGCCACGAGCCTGCAGCCGCATGGACCAGTACCAGAGGAAGATGAGGAAGCCTGCGGGAAGGGAAGCAGGGCACGGCTCGAAGACAGGGCTCGGCTAGAGGACAGGGCTCGGCTGCTGGGGCAGCCCCACCGGCCCCTTGAGCCCCTCCCAGGGTCACCTCGACTCAGATCTGCCCTTCGACTCAGAATTCTCTGGAGTCCCCTTCAATTTCACAGGCCAGAAAATGAAGACTCAAAACTTAGGAGTCTAGATGGTGTCGGGAGGGGAGAAGGAGGGTGCAGGAGGCGCCACGCCCCCACCACGCCCCACCAGCCACGCCCACCAGCCACTCCCACTGGTCACGCCCTCACCAGCCACGCCCTCACCAGCCACCTTCAGCCACACCCTCACTAGCCACACCCTCACCAGCCACCTTCAGCCACACCCTCACTAGCCACACCCTCACCAGCCACC